ACAAAGGACGAATTATATGTTTTGACTTCTGCCCCCTACTGGACAAAAGACGAATTACATGTTTTGACTGCTGCCCCTTACTGGACAAAAGACGAATTACATGTTTTGACTTCTGTCCCCTACTGGACAAAGGACGAATTATATGTTTTAACTGCTGCCCCCTGCTGGATTATTTTTTGTCAAAACTAGAGAAATTGCATTAACTGCGAAAATGCAGTGTGAATTGCTGAATAATTTCTGCTGAAAGCTGCTTAAAAAACTAGGTAACTTGAAATACATCAATACCTGAAATTTTGAAAGATGAAGCTGCAAGAAGCAAAATAAAAAATGCAGAAAAATATGGAATTAGATTAATTTCGTTCATTCAACATTTATTTACACAGGTTAGTCTCGTTGAGCCACGTGGACTCATTTACAAGAGAGACCTGTTTTAAATAAAGAACAGAAGAGGTAAAAACATATAGACAATCATATATAAAAAGCATATAAAATGAAAACGCTGCTGATTATCTCATGCTGCTGATCTTCTCATGCTTCTGTATTCATTCATACCCATGTGCTCACCATAGACTCATGTTCAGGCTGCATCGTATTGTTTTACATTATAAGTGTTTAGCGTATCTTAGATCTTTTAGCGTACCTTCTGGTGTTTGTTTAGGGTATATCTTAGATCCTTATTTACTATTCTTTTTTATACTTTACATTTTGCTTTTTATGGGAGTAACTAGGACCCTGTGTACATAATTTCATTGCACCTTATGTACCACATGCGTGGTGTTCTTATTTATTCGGTGTCTTGTGCTCCTCTCATTGTCCGTGAATTGTCCTATTTGGTGTCATGTGCTGTTCTCCCTCAGTGTCACCTCAATGAAAGACATAAGTTTTACTGGCATGTCAGCTGTTGTTAAAATAAAGAATATTTGCTTTATTCCTGAGTCCTACTAGTTCCGCCTGCATTTAGGTTCAAACTAGCGACAGATCATGACAGAATCCACGGACCAACCTGAACCCAGGCATATAATTTGGCTGAGACTGTTTGACAGCATTCACACAATTACAATGAATAAAGGCTTTAAATATTTCTGAGTGAATCTATATATGAATTTTCACTTTCTGAACTGAGTGACAAAAATATTGAACTTATTCATGATATGGTAATTTTTTTTAGATACACCTGTAACCACTGTCCCTCCTCTGGACATGTCCAAACCATCTCAAAAATGAGCACATTACTCCAGTTCTGGCCTCCCTTCACTGGCTCCCGGTTCTCTTTCGAATTCATTTTAAAATCCTTCTTTATGTTTTTATAATCTCTGAACAGTTCTGCCCCTCCTATCTCGCGGATCTGCTGCAGCCATATATGTCCCACAGCACTCTCTGAGGTCCCCAGACCAGATACTTCTATTGGTTCCAGGCGCTCGTTTTAATGGCAGAGGTGACAGAACCTTCCCTGCTGCAGGTCCAGAACTGTGGAGTGAGCTACCACTGCATGTCAGGCAGGTTCCCTCTCACTGTTTTTAAGTCTCGTTTGAAAACTCACCTTTATTCCTTGTGACACTGTGCGAGTTGATTTGAACTTGTCTGTATTCTGTAATGTTTGCCATTTTAGTTCTTATCTTTACCTATTGGGATCTATGTAATTTATCTTGTGTCCTTTGCTTGTTTTGTTTTTGCTGTGCAGCACTTTGGTTGACCTGGTTGCTGTTTTAAGTGCTTTATGTCTTTTATCCCTCACATTAAAAACATTACTAGAACCGCCGTCTTCCGCCTGCGTAATATCACTAAAATTAGAAACATCTTATTTAAAAATGATGCAGAAAAACTGGTTCATGCATTTGTCACGTCTAGACTGGACTATTGCAATGTTTTATTATCTGGGTGTCCAAATACTTCTTTAAAAAGTCTTCAGTTGATCCAAAATGCTGCTGCCAGAGTCTTAAGTGGGAGAGATCTCAAGTTTTAGCTTCTCTCCAGTGGCTCCCAGTCAAGTCCAGAATTGAATTCAAAATCTTACTTCTAACCTACAAAGCCCTCAACAACCTAGCTCCATCTTATATTACAGATCTTATTGTTCCATATTTTCCTAACAGAGCACTTCGGTCTCAGACTGCAGGCTTACTTGCAGTTCAGCAGAATGGAAGGAAGATCTTTCAGTTGTCAGGCTCCTCTCTTGTGGACCCATCTTCTGTCCATAAGGCTGACACATTGTCCACTTTTGGTGTAACCGCTCCCAAAGTCTTTTCGTCTGGTACAGAATAAGGCCACGCTCCAACTTATGCTTTCACAGCTTTTAATTATTTCTTTGCCGCACACGACATCTTATTTTGCTAGTAAACACAGTGAAAAACTGTGTTAAATACACAATATAAACTTGTGTTAACTAAATTGCATTTACAACCACATTTAAACATAAACAAAACAAAATATGTCAACATACCGTGTGCACCTTCTGACCAAACATTTAGGAGGCGTCATTGTCCATTTTTCCCACTTCAACCATCTTGTTTTCTCTCAGGTCCATACACGCATGAGTCTAAGTCTTAATTGGTCATGCACACTCCATGCACACGTCTAGGTGCCCAATTCCACCAACATATGTCAGCGACAACAGAACCTAAATGATCTTTTCTGTGACACCTTAAGGTCTTTCCTTTTCGATAATCCTATAGTTAGTCGGCTTGGTTTCCTGACCTATCCCTAGACCTCATCTCATCAAATTAATAGTTTGTATTTGTAATTCTTTCTTAATGTGTGCTTTCTGTCTTTTTTCCTCCTAGAGAAAATCTAATGGCCTCCATCCTTTCAGTCAACCTTTATTTAAACAGGTTAGTTCCACTGAGCCACGAGGACTCATTTACAAGAGAGACCTGATCCTGGACCTGTCGTCGTGTGTTCGTTTTCTCCTTCCGGCTCTTTCAAACCCAGCCGGTCGAAGCAGACGGCCGCTTGTCCTGAGCCTGGTTCTGCTGGAGGTTTCTACCTCATGAGGGAGTTTTTCCTTTCCACGGTCGCCTCTGTGCTTGCTCAGGATGGGAGCCTGCGATGACGTGAAAACTCAAAGGAGTCTGTGTGCTCCTTAAAGAACGTGAACTGGTGAATGTTTCTGTTCAGTGCCCTGAGATGACTTATGTTGTGATTTGGCTCTATAAACTGAACTGAATCAACAAAGTGTTGCGGTATCTCAGTCAGTCGTATCTAACTTTTTTGGCCCAGTTCAGCCTCCGTCCAGCAGGGGCGCGCTAACAGCTAGCTGTTTAACAACCGCTTGGAACGCGGCGGCTAAGCTAACTGAGCTAACGTAGTTTATCGGTGATTATCAGCTCCGAAATCATTTTTTTTATTATCAACGGAAGTCTAACTTTACTGTGGTTGGGCATCAGAAGGACACACACGAAGTCTCTGTGAATTGTGAACATTTTGTTCGGTTTGCGGCGGTAAACGCTCCTGGGATTGCTAACGGCTAACCGAACTCAGCTGGCGACGGATTAACGCGTTTATCTTAAAAAGGCGGGTCCATTCCACCGGTTCCGGACGCCAGGAGGAGAAGTCTGTTCGGGTTCAGTGAGGAGGATGAAGGTGAAGATCCGTCAGTGGAACGGGGTGGCCTCCTGGTTGTGGGTGGCCAACGATGAAAACTGCGGGATCTGCAGGATGCCGTTCAACGGCTGCTGCCCGGACTGTAAGTACCCGAACCGAACCGGGCAGCTCTCGGGTTCTGGTGTCTATCAAACCCCGCAGGGATGGCACCGAATCTCAGGGTCTAGTCTCAAACAGTCAGAAGAAGTTGGTCTAAAGAAAGCAGAAAATACTTTAATATGTTGAGTGGTTCTGAGTGAAGAATTTGGACCCTAAAGTCAAAATCCACAAGTTATTTATTTTTTTTATCTCAAAAGGCAACTTCTTCTTAAATTTTAAAAGTTTGTGAAGACATGTGCCATCCAACATGTTTGTTTGCAGATTTGAAAACAAGCCAATGTGGTTCCAGATTAGAGGTGGGATTTAAACAGATTACACGAGAGCATGTTTAAAACCTGTAAGACTCCACTCTTTAGTCTGTTAAAGTTAAAACCTTCAGGTTGCCTGAGCAGCATGAGCTAAACAAAAACCTGAACACCTGCAGGAAGCTCCTGCAGGTGTTCAGTGTCTGCAGCTTCTGTGTTTGAGGGTTTTGTTTTGTGCTCCTGCAGGTAAAGTGCCCGGAGACGACTGCCCGCTGGTCTGGGGTCAGTGCTCCCACTGTTTCCACATGCACTGCATCCTGAAGTGGCTGAACTCGCAGCAGGTCCAGCAGCAGTGTCCCATGTGCCGGCAGGAGTGGAAGTTCAAGGAGTGACCCCGTGTTCCCAACTATCTCACTTTGACGCCGGAGTTTTTGCATTTTCTCCTGGATTTGGGAATAAACGTGGAAACTTGGCGCACGTTTTTAAACGGCGAGCCGTCCCGTCAGGCTGCTCGTGAAGTCTTCCCTCTGCCGATCGATGTTTCGAATTCACGCAGCCCGTTTTTTGTTTCCGACGACGACGACGGCTCGGAAGAATCGACCGGCAGGCGGTTGATGTCAGACTGTGAAAACGTTCAAACTTTAACTTTGTGTTCAAGCTGCAGCGAAACACAGTAAAAAGTCCACAGCTTTTAAATAAATAAAAAAATAAAAAAAACATCTAACATCGGTTTTCCCGTTGCGGTCAGATTTTAATTTCCAGACTGTTTCCTTCTGCTAACGAGTTTTCACAAATATTTTCGTGAAACGCCAAAACAGACGGTGAGAACGACAAGATTTATTTATTTTTTTAAAGGAATTTGTTTTAGACGTGTCATTTGTTAGGCCAGTTGAAAGTTTTATGTTTACGCGTTTGTTTTTTGAACATTTTCTGCTGTAAAACGTCTCGATCAGTTAAACATGCCGAAACGTTTTGGTAAGACTGTTATTGACAGTAAAAGTACAGACGTAACGTGCAGTCCTGACACTTTTTGGCTTCTTTTTCCCCAAGCAGCCAAATTATCCTAAAATCGTTGATCAACAGTTATCCAGAGTTTTAGGTCTAAAAATCTGCAGCATATGAAAGTCCTGTTTAAAAAACAAAAAACAGCCGAGACGCTTAATTTACTACAGAATAAGATTTCAGCTGATAGTGAATCATCTTGTTGGAGCTGAAATCCTGATTTGTGTCTGTTAAACCGTTATCGTTGGTCATTTTCTTCTAGTTTAGACGAGTAACGGAGTCCACAGATCTGAGTTGTGTGGAAACGCTGAAAATTAACTGCTGCCTTTTACAGAAAACATTTTTAAAAACCTGAAGAACGTCCTTTAAACGATCTCGCGGACGTCTGGGCTGTGAAGGAAATAAATGAGGAATGATTGAAGACTTTTGCACAGAAGCGCAACTTAAAAACCAACATTTTGAACTTCTGCTGGGATAAATATGTAATCGTGTTTACAGGTAACAAATTTTTATTTCGACTTCGATCACAATCCAAAAGGATCCAGATTTATTGCGTCAAAAAGTCAAACGAGTAACGCTGTTTACAAAAACAACAAAACTTTCAAGCTGTAAACAAGCCTGTTGAGTCAAACAACAAGACTAGTTGTGGAAATTCAACGCTGAATTACAAAAAACAGATGAAGTAGCTAAAGCTGAACTGAAAGCTAAATGCTAAAAGTAGTTTTTTTAAGGGTTGTAAGCTCCAGGTACTTTGAATCATGATTTAACCTAGGATTACGACGTCACGGTCGTCATGGTGACCACACGCCTGCGTCTGCCACTTCTGTTGACGAGCGATAGATAAAAATGCAAACTGAAAAATAAGCCTCAAACAAAGAGTCTGTGTGTGAAAGTTGACAGTCCGTAGAAAAAATATCTTAAAGTAGAAAAAAACGAACATGAAAATAGCAAAATGCTAACTACAAGCAACAAAACACTCAAAATGTAAAAGTAGCAGATTGCTAACTAAAGAGCAGATACTAGCTAAAGAGCAGATGCTAGCTAAAAGAAAAACTTGTCAGAAGTA